ACGTCACTGAGGTTCACATTCTTATTATAAGAAACACTAATAACTGGAAATTTTTAAAAAAATCCAGTTTTGTTTTGGACGTTGGACATTCATTTCTATCAAAGAAATTCTCCCAAAATTTCACTTCATGATTTACAGATTCAAATTTAAAAGAAAACTCAGTTTAATATTCAAGGAAAAGCTTTTTGAAATTGGATACTTTTAGACTTGAATGCTACATTCAAGATACTGTTCATATTGGGGCCAAATTAGAAAATCGCCTACTGAAAAAAAAATTATTGGTCATTAGAGAATGGAGATTACATAATTTCAGTAGATCATTTTAATATGGGATTTGGAAAACACTGAGGAAAACATAGTAAAAGTGAAAATTTATTGGTTAGTTCTGATATTGTTCTAGAAAATAGGATTAAGTTTTCCAGAAGAGGTACAAAATCTCCTTAAAAATGACCCGGAGTACATAGGAACTTCAAGCTACTTGAAGTTGATACAAGTTTTAAGTTTATATGTATTTGAATCCAAATATATTGTATCCCAGCATCATAATATATGAAAAAAAGGGTGAACGTTGAAAAAATGGTTTACTTATTCTCAAATTATTGAGAAGGGGATTAGACACATTCGTATGGCCTACTTAGCCTATGCTGAGGTTTAGATTCAATTTATTGTTTATAGTCCTGTAAACCTATTCAACTTTCAGGAAAAGGTCCATTCTTGGGCCCATTTATAATAAAAAGAAATAATATACCCTCAATATTGTTGAAACAATAATAATAATAATAATAATAATAATAATGTATTTATTGCAATCTTAAGATAAAATTACAAAAGGCGAAGTTGAAGCTAGGCTTCCTCACTTAACCTAATACAATAACTTAAACCTAACCGATACGAATGAATAGAAAAAATAAATTTGGAAAAAGAAATTGGAAAAAATTGGAAAGGCTGGATAGACTAAGGTGCAGCGTTAATTTGTTTAATCAAATGACCTATTGCATTTTTGAAAAATTGGGTGGGAGCAGATTTCAAGTTAACAGGAACTTTATTGTACTGTAGCGATATTTGATAAGTGAATGACCTTTCATATAGAGTTGTTTTGTGTAGAGGAGGAGTGATGGTTAGTTTATGCCTCAAATCCAGAGCATGAGAGTCATATCTAAATTTTATTTTCTGATATAAATAATCCGGACATTTAAAAAAAATTATTTTGTTGTACATTACTAAGGTATGGAGCAGTCTCCTCTCACTCATGCTGAACCACCCTATTTCCCTCATCTTATCACTCACCCCTCTGTCATACTTCCTTATGCCACCTACCAAACGCACGCAGCAATTCTGAATCAGTTGGATACGTCTGGCATCCCTTTCGAGCAGACATGGGCCGTACAGAGCATCACAAAATGTGAATTGTGATAGAACCAGACTGTCACATAATGATTTCCTGAGATTAGCATTCAAGAGGCGTCTCTCATTGAAAATTACCTTCAGCCTAGCGAATGCCTTTCTTATACAATTATTAATGTGTTCTGTAAACCTAAGGTTAACGTCAAGCAAAAGTCCAAGGTTTCTAGCTGCCGCTGAGCAACTCAAAGCCTGACCATCAAGGCTGATTCGAAGCATGTCCTGACATTGAGATCGACTTTGCGCACGTCCAAAGAGCAAAACTTGAAACTTTTTAGGATTAAGCAGCAAGCAGTGATTGATTGAGACTCTCAGCAGCCGGTCTAGGTCCGCATTTAGTTTATCGTTGGCTTCAAAAATGTTTTCTGGACGAAATGACATATAAAGTTCGGCATCGTCTGCGTACAGGTGCACATTGGCGTGCCTCAAGCTGTTAGTTAGTTGTGAGGTGTACAAAGTAAAAAACAAAGGCCCCAAAATCGATCCTTGAGGAACACCACGTGCAACATCCAAAGATCCCGACACGCTAGGGCCAACCTTCACCGACTGTGTTCTTTTAGAAAGGCAACTTTCAATAAGTTGGCAGGCGTTTTTTTCAAAGCCAAGATACCTCAGAATTGCCAAGAAAAGATCATGGTCCAGTCGATCAAAAGCCTTCGAATAGTCCAGCAAGATCAGAACAGTGAGTTGACCAGAGTCAGCCGCCTCAAGAATATCGTCAGTAACCTTTAGAAGTGCTGTTGCGCAACTGTAGTCTTTACGAAAGCCAGACTGAACAGAAGGTAGCAACTGGTGAGCTTGGATGAAGTCACGAATCTGGCTCTTCAATACTCTTTCCAGGACCTTCGAAAGTGTTGGCAGAATGCTTATGGGTCTAAGATCCTTCAACTCCTCAGGGACGGAAACCCTAGGGATCGGAAGCAGAAAAGAACTTTTCCAGACATTTGGAAAGAATGAAGTCTCTATGCATGAGTTAACAATGTGTACAATAAAGAGAAGGATGTGAGGACAACAGAGCACAGCATGGACAGTCCAATGCCACCAGTACCGACAGCCAATGACTTGATTGAAAAAAAGGCTGTGTGAACCTCCTCAGGGGTGGCAAGTCTAAACTCAAAAGAGCCGACATCATATTTTCTGTTTTCGCGATAGAAGAGTGACGTAGCTGGATCAGGGGTTGATGAAGAAGCAGCATTTATAAAAAATTGATTTATGTCATCCACATTACCAAGATGTTCAGGAATGGATATAGGATCCTTCGAATATATACCGAGCTCCCTAAGCAGCTTCCAATTATTTTTGGGATTGCCTATATTCAAATTGGTTTCAAGGTAGTTTTTTTTCTCAGTTTGAATCGCGATTGTGACTTGATTACGAAGCCGTCGATAGTTTTCCCAGATTTCTGGCGCGTTACGTTGCTTAAATTTAGATAGGGCATTGTTCCGTAGCTTCATAGTGAGCCTTATATTGGGGGAAATCCAGGGTGTCTTTTTTTTTTGTTACCCAGGCATTTCTAATGGGGGCATGCCTATCAAACAAGCCTAAAATGTATCTATTGAATGTTTCCAGCTTTTCATCGACATTCTGCAGATAAAAGATATTATGAAGAGGTATATTAAGGAGATCAGCATAAAACGCTTCACGATCAAAATGTCGTAAATCTCTATAAGATATAAAGGAAGGTTTAGGTTTGGAGACCTTCAAACGCAACTGACACTTAATAAGGAAGTGATCAGATGCATCGAAAGAGGTATCGACACTACTACTTGACAGAAGATCCTTGTTAGAGAACAAAATTAAATCTATGACAGTTGCGTTGGTAAGACCCCGCCTGGTTGGCTCGTTTATGACTTGTGTTAAGCTATACGCATTCAGCAAGGAAAGAAATTGTTCAGAATACACGGAATCAAGATTGAAAACATCAATGTTGAAGTCGCCCAAGCACACGAGATTTGAATACATCAGCAAATTTTGGGAGACATTCCATTCAAATTCTTCCAAAAATTCATTCACATTGTTAGTGCCAGGAGGCCTATATACGACGCCCACAACATTTTTTAATAGGTTAATTTTAAATTCGATCCATACCTGTTCAGCATAACTAGACTTAGCATTATTAAGGATTGAAAATTATTAAAACAATATACATACCTAAGTTGTTTGAAATATCAAATGCAGGTTTAGGTTAGTTTAAACCTCAGTTTAAACCCCTGCATTCTGGATTACCGAAAACCAATCATTAGTTTTAGCTCTAAAGTAAACTAACCTAATTTTGCATTTGATCCTACTTGATAAACTGCTCTTGTGTTTTAACACTAAAGGCAGATTTATTCACTTTCTGATAAACCGTCAGGTAATCCAATCTGACGGATTAAACGCAATTTAAAATCCCATTGGTTGGCCAGTTATTCCTTGACCAATAAGATTATGAAATGGGTAAACTTATCTTATAGATAGTTACCAGCAAGTTTATCTGAAGATGAATAAACCGAGCCTATGTTAAAGATTTAAAAAAATAAACTTATCACAAGCAATTATGAGGATTTTCAGGGAACTTGTAAGAGGCATTTGTGGGGAATTTGAGAGGAGTTTGCAGGAGTTTGTAGGAATTTGCAGGAAACTTAGAGGAATTTGGAGGAATTTTGGGGAATTTCGCATAGAAAATTCTTCATTGAGGAATTGTTTGCACAAAATGCATGTGCGGTTCGCCATTTGGCTAGTCAGATTATACATATTTCACCAAAAAAATGTTCATTTCTACATAGAAAAATACAGTAAATATTGTGGAGATGTTCGGAAATTTTGGAGAAAAATGAAAAATCTTTCAAAAATTTTGAAAATGATCAATTTTTGTTTCAGAAATGTCAGAATTTTCATAGGAAATCAGTAAATATTCGGGAAATTTAGGAAATTTGATAAATTATTCAGGAAATTTTAGAAATTATGGGAAATACTTGAAAAAATTCTAAATATTCAGGAAATTTTGGAAATTATGGGCATTATCAGGAAAACATTTTCAAAAAGGAAATAAGAGCGTGAGACATCCCTTGGTGTTAGTTTAAGTCTTTTAGTATTGTCCACTATAATAAAATTGACAAAATGAAGAAAAATTTGGGAATGGGTTCTGTTGGGATTCTTTTATCTGTGATACCAATATGTATATGTGTTTTATCTGTCTTTTTGTGTAAAATTTCCAATTTACAGGAGTACAGGAGCTTTTCCAGACTTTTTTGGAAAAAATCCTATTGTTCACCTATTTTTAAAGATGATGATATCAAAAACTACAGAACTATTAGTAGAATCTGTTTTGCTGAACTATTTGAATCACTGGTTGCTGATAATTGGTCTCTTCAACGGGGGAGATCCACTATAACTTAATCTCTTGACCTATGAGCATGAAAATCAATTGAGAGCCTCAAACTCACTTCCAGTTGAATTTTCCATAGAAAAGCAACTCTAATTCATAAATCCTGAAAGTTTCAAGTCACTGTGATCATTAGAAGTATTTTGCACAATTGATTTTTGCAGATTTTAATTTTTTCTCTTCACTGCTTATTCTTGGTACCCTCAATTGAGCATAATTTGCTTTGATTTTCCAGATCAGCACAAACAACAGAATCCAATCCACCTGCAAGAGTTTTAAGAACCCGTAGAGCTTCTGCTCATGACATTGAAGAAGTCGAATCTAAACCAGCCCCGAGAACCAGAAGAAGTGAGAATTATTATTTTGCAATTTATTGAATCTTATATAACAATTTGTTGCAGCATCCACTTTAGCTGAAGAAGAACAATCCAGTAGTACTCCAGTTAGACGTGGCAGAAAGCCCTCAGTTACAAAAGAATCGGAAGACCAAGAAGAAACAGTCAAACCTAAAATAGTACGTGGTCGCAGAGCTTCCAATACTAGTGTGGAAGATCCTGACGAAAAAACTCTAAAACCTGCTGGGGTTAGAACTAGGAGAGGTTCAGCCAATGTAGAACCTGAATCAAAAACTCCTGCAAAACTTACTTCAAGACGTGGAAGCTCTGAAATTGCTGCTACTGAAGAAGTCTCTACCCCTGCTAAAAGGACTACAAGAGCTAGAAAAAATTCCGATTCTGTTGAGATTATTGAAGATACTAAACCAGCCACCAGGGGACGCAGAAAGTCAATAACGCTAGAAGAAGAAGGCAAAGTTGAGGAAAAAAAACCTGTTGCTAGAAGAAGCCGTAGAGCTTCTTCAGATAGTTTGGCTTCAGATACAGGACCAGGAACACCAACACGTAGAACAACTAGAAGAAGCTCAATTAATCAGGAAGAAGTTTCTCCAATAGTAGAAGAAGTTTCAATTAAAAGTGTACCTTTTAAAAAAAGGGGAATCATTGAACAAATAGAAGCTGATCTAGATTTGAGTATTATCAATGAAAGTGATGATGCAATTATTAGTGAAGTTGATCAGTCAAAATCTATAAATATTAGTCCAGCAAGCCGTAAAAGATTAAGTACCATAAATGAAATAGGATCGCCATTGAGAAAATCTCCTAGACTAAGTCCAAGAGTCAATTCTCCAACTATTATAAATCTAGATGCATCAGCTGAAGAAACCCAAGTGACCACTACACAAATATTTGAAGAAAAATTAAATACTTCTCCAGGCAGCAACAAGGAAAACATAACTGTCAATGAAATTTTGGAAAGATCTGTTCAAACACCAATAGCATTCTCTGCAAGAGTATCAAACGTTTTTAAACCGAATCAGAGAGAATACAGCTTCATGGAACCAATGGAAGTTGATCAAACAATAAATCAGTCACTGGCATTGGAAAAAAGTCTAGTTGCTTCTAATTCTCCAAAAATTGTTGCAGATTCAACTAGCAACAATAAGCCAATTTTGAAAAAATTGAGTGTTGTTCTTTGTAATGTTGACAAACTTGCCACTGAATTAGATGTTGTAGATTCTACTAGCAACCAGAAAAACATTAATGCTACAAATAGTGATCCTGAGGAAACTGATGAAAGTTTAATTGTATTTGGTGAGGATCCAGCTGATTCTGCTTTGAGTGGAATTTCTTTAAGAGTAATTACTGAAAATGAAAATTCGTTAACAGACAATTTCTTACAACCAAAAGAAGAGGTTGAAGATACTTGCTCTATAGCTGCTTCTGAAATAAATTTACTAGATACGCAGGAACAGGTTTATGTAAAGGAAGAAATTGAAGAATTTTTGACATCTGAAGTTGCACCAGAAGACACCAACATTGATATTTGCCATTTGAGCACTCCTGTTGTTAGTCAACGCAAATCTAAAATTCCTCAAACTAGACAATCTCTTCAAAGTAAAAATAAAAATGATGACATTCAAATTGAACAGAAAACACTTGTTGTTGAAGAATATTGTATTAAAGACAAAGTTCTTGACACTGTCGAAGATTTAAATACTAAAAAATTAGAAAACCAAAATGTTATTCAAGATGATGTTAGTACTAGCAACAAAAATAAGGCAGAAGAGAATGTGAAAAAATCTCAGCAATTACTTTTTGATGAGAGTGAGGATGAAGATGGCGATAACAACATAAATGAAGCTTCAAAAGAAGGAAACAAGTCTGTGGAGGAAATTGAAATGGCTAAAGAAAGTGCCAAAAAACTAAAAATTAGAAAACTAGAAGTTGAAAAAGAACTTTTTGATGACAGTGACGATGAAGTCAGTATTAGCAACATTAATAAGACAGAAGTTAATAAGGCTCATGAAGATGAAAAACAAGCTTCAGAAAATAGAAACGAATCTGTGAAGGAAATTGAAATGGCCAAAAAACTAAATACTAGCAAATTAGAGATTGAAAAAGAACTCTTTGATGACAGCGAAGATGAAGTTAATGAAGTCAGCATTAGCAACATGAATAAGACAGGGGAAATTAAAAATACTAATGAAGATGAGGAACAAGATTTAGAAAATAGGAATAAGTCTGTAAAGGAAATTGAAATGGCCAAAAAACCAAATACTAGCAAATTAGAAATTGAAAAAGAACTTTTTGATGACAGTGAGGATGAAGTTAATGAAGTCAGCATTAGCAACATGAATAAGACAGGGGAAATTAAAAGGACTAATGAAAATGAAGAACAAGCTTTAGAAAATAGGAACAAGTCTGTAAAGGAAATTGAAATGGCCGAAAAACTAAATACTAGCAAATTAGAAATTGAAAAAGAACTTTTTGATGACAGCGAAGATGAAGTTAATGAAGTCAGCATTAGCAACATGAATAAGACAGGGGAAATTAAAAAGACTAATGAAAATGAAGAACAAGCTTTAGAAAATAGGAACAAGCCTGTAAAGGAAACTGAAATGGCCGAAAAACTAAATACTAGCAAATTAGAAATTGAAAAAGAACTTTTCGATGACAGTGAGGATGAAGATGGTGATGTCAACACTAGCAACATAAACAATGCAGAAAAGACAAATAAAAATGAAGAACAAGCTTCAGACGAGTCTGCAAAGGACATTGAAACAGCTAGAAAAATTTCCAAAATACTTTTTGAGGACCAAGAACAAGTTTCAGAGAATGATTGTGAAATTGTTGAAGACATGACTGAGCCAGCTCAAAAGGAAGAAGTTATGACCAATGAAATAGTCAAAAAGGTATTCATTATTATATTATCTTAATTATATCACTAATTTCTTAATTATAGACAACACCCACTAAACCAAGCCCAAAAGCTAGAAGGTCCTTGGACGAATTTGCCTCAACCAAATTAGCTGAATATTTTGAATCAAAGACTGACTATGTTGTAAATTCTACTGATGAAGAGGAATCTAATGATGATGAAGAAGAAGAGAACAGTTTTGTTATTGGAATGGCTGAAGAAGGTGAGAAATTCATAATCTCTCTTTATCTCTAGTTCTAATCTCTATTATTTTATTTAGGTGAAGAAGACACTCCATCTGAAGACAGCAACCAAATAATCGACCACGGTGAATCAATTGGTTCTTCAGATTCGGTTGATGATGAACAATCAGATGACGAACTTGACTCCTTTATATGCGACGATGAAGATCCAGGTGAACTACTATCGGGCGAGGAATTCGACTTAGACATTGAAGAGGAGATGACAAATAAAAAATCACGCATTATGAATAACGAACAGTTTGGGGATGAAGAAGTTATAAAAATGCCTCAAAAGACTGAAAAGCCTAAAAGAATATTGACCCGTATTATTACAGTGAGTTCGTCAAGTGAAGAGGAAATTGCTGATGAACCAATTAAAGAAGACATTCAAGATTCAGAAGACAACGAACATGAGTCATCAAACAGGATTTGTGAAATTCAAGAATCAAAATCCAATGACAATGTTAATAAAGAAACAAGTGTAAATGTAGACTTTGACATTAATGAATCAATTATTTCTACTGGTGAGAATAATAATTCTAAAGTTGATGAATTAAGGCACTCCTTAAATGTACTGAATCAAAGCAGGCACAGAAAATCTTCCCTAACAATCCAAGAAAATATTTTTGTTGATGGAGCAAAAGATCCAAGACTCACCCAAAGAATAAATTCTTTAGTTGAATCGTTTTGTTCAAATGTAAAAAAAGGTGAAGTTTCCTTGAATTTATCTCTCGAATTTGAAAATACTGGCGAGGAAGAAGATACAGCTAAAAATATAAATATTTTAAATAACGTTACAATCCAACAAGGAACTACTGATACAGAAATTATTGATCATGAAGATGCAGGTCCATCTGAAGTAGAAAACATTGCGGAAGAAAACATCATAAACCAACCAGAAATTACTGAACCAGAAATTTGGGAAAATATTGAAGAAATTATTCCATCTGATCATAGCGAAATTATTGATGAATTAAATAAAACTACTGAACAAGTTGATTTAAGAGAAGTGATCAATAGAAAACTAAAACGTAGATTGAGCAAAAGCTTATCTGAAGTCTACGAAGAAAATAAAAAAGCTAAAAAACGCAAAAAGAACAATGGCAAAGCAAAACCAAAACCCGATTTGACTGAATATTTAGGAGCCACTTCTTTTGGTCTAATGAACCAGTTGATAACTGATGTTAAAAATCGCCCTAGGCGTAAAATCAAGCCCAGTACTTCTGCAGTTGCAAATGAAGCATGGACTTCCACTGTGGTTTTGAATTTAAAACCTTCCACTTCTGTGCTGAAAGAAGAAAAGAAACCTGTACCAAAACCAAAATTACACCCAAAAGATTTCAAAAATCAAATGCTGACAGACCCGATAAGGGTGAGACGTGTGGAAACGAAAACTTTGTTGAAAAAGAAAGGAGCATTTTATTAAATTAGGATTATTTTTGGTTAAGGCTTATCAACCTTGTATCACTTTTATGAGCAAAATGAATGCATGTTGTCTATATTTTTTGAGAGTAAGTGATGCAAGGGTAAACTTATATTATTTATTTCCGTTTTTATAACAATTTTTGATAGAAACTTTATTTGTACTTTTTCAATAAAATTGGTATCATTTTCAATTAAGGCTCTTGTTATTGTAACCAAGTAATTTGTTATTTTTTTGTATAATATTTTATTCTTTGTAAACCACAAATCATTTTAATTATGCATATTTTTGTTTGTGGTTCTTGTTTACTATTATGATACATTATTTTTAAACTATTTCCAAGTTAATAAACTATCTCATTTGCATGTGATTTTGTTCAATTAATTCGAACATTAAAATCTTGATTAATTGATTTGTAGAGAATTTAATTGGCTTTAATTAGAGCCTAATTACATTGAAATCGGATGAAAATTGACATAGCAGTGAGCCAAAAACTGTCTCAGAGTCATTTTTGGAAAATTTTAAATGTTTGATAGTTTCAATCATGAGGCTTCTCAGATGTAGAACTTTTAAAACCAAATTGAAATCCTAATTAATAGGTTTGTAGAGAATTAAAGTTTAATTACACAAAGGAAATGGGTACATTCAGGCGGTCCCAGCGGCTTAGCTCAGCCTCTCAGCAGGAACTTTATTCTCGAAACCAAGAAACAGCGTTCTCATTGGAACGAAGGTTCTGTCTTTGTCGTCCGGCATAACACTGACAATGACAGAGCAATTGTTCTTATGAGAACGCTGTTCCTTGGTTTCGAGAATAGAGTCCCTGCTGAGTTTAGCCGCTGGGACCGCCTGAATGTACCCAATGTGTCATCTTCAAGGTCAGATTTCTAGGATTTGAAATAATGGTTTTATGTTCAAAAATCATTGTTTTGGTCAGAAACAAGGGACTTATTATTATAAATACCAAAAGCCAATTTACCGGACACTATGCAATATAATTTACCGCATACTACAGTGCCCGCATACTATCAAGGATGATACACACTACTTACTACAGGATGGCCCATCCTCATAAGGCCTGTGTGTAACTAATCCCTCCCCTTCCCCCACAATCACATCAAATTATTCAAATTACCAGTTGTGACGTAGACAGCATGTTATTTCTCGCCTTGACCGACGTAGGCCAGGGACACATCTATCATGCATTTTTCCGATCCGACTCCGATCATACAATCAAGGTCCTTATTCTTGGAACAGGGGAGCAGCGGAACACTCGTTTTCCTGGGAATGCTGTGATGCTACTACCTGTTCCAAGAATAAAGACCTTGATTGTATGATCGGAGTTGGATCGGAAAAATGCATAATAGATGTGTCCCGGGCTGCATTTTTCCGTTTCCTATTTGGTTACCGCTACATGGAGCGCTAATCCTTTAGGACTTGTAAAATTATATCTGGCATCGCGTTTCCTATTAGGCCAGCGCACATTGTCTTCCGCTAAACGGAGCGCTAATCATATAGGACTTGTTAAATTGTATCTGACGTCGCGTTTCCTATTAGACCAGAGCACACCCTCTGCGATCATCTACAGATAGCCATTACAATGCATTATCGTTGTCATTTTTTGAGGTTAATTGGTGGTTACAGGTGGTGCAATAATTTTGTAATACGTCTCGTTGTATTATTTCTGTTGATTCTACACTGAGAAATCCTCTAGCCAAAAATTCTTTACTAATGGATTTTCGGCTATCATAGCAGACATTTTAGCTGTGATTGCTGCGATCCTATTCTAGTAGTAGAACGCACTTTACTAAGTTAGCAAAAAGTATCTTGGTTGTTTTTTTTTTATTACTGCTGGAATGGATTTCACTACTACAAAGAAACTCTGCAACCCATGTCAAAAGTCATGAAACAGCATGGTTGGCAATATGAGCGTAGTTATTCAATTTACGTGCGCTGGTCTAATAGGGAACGTGACGTCGGATATAATTTAACAAGTCCTAGTCCTATAGGATTAGCGCACGATGTAGCGGTAGACAATGTGCGCTGGCCTAATAGGAAACGCAATGCCAGATATAATTTAACGAGTCCTAAAGGATTAGCGCTCCATGTAGCGGTAATCAAATAGGAAACGGAAAAATGCTCCCGGGCTGTAGGCTGTTTAAGCAGCTGATGACTTATTACGTCGGAAATGGTAACACGCCAATATGGCGGCAGCGATTACCAAAAACCAAGGAAAATACACACTCTAGAGGAGTGCTTACCGGCCTCGTTTTTGGTAATAGCCTCCATATTGGTTTGCCACCATTGCCGACGTCATAACTCAGTCGTCCAGCTGCTTAAACAGCCATGACTGTCATTGTTTGGAAATTGGAGTTTACCATTCTAGGCTAGGAGAGCCTGGAATAGGATTTTTATTCATGTCAGTTGAATTTCAGCTCATTCAGGATGCAAACTGTAACATTATGACGGTTAGACATCGAAGTTTGATAGGTACTTTAGCTCAATTTCAACTTAAGAACCAAAAATCAGATTTTGTTAATCTACTTGAAATTTAAGTCCATGAGATCCAAACACAGGATCCAAAATTGACATTTTGAACTGTCATTGTTTAGAAATTGGAGTTTACTATTCTAGGAGAGCCTGGAATAGGATTTTTATTCTTTTCAGTTGAATTTCAGCTCATTCAGGATGCAAACTGTAACTCTTTAACGGTCAGAAATCGAAGTTTGATACTTCTTTAGCTCAATTTCAACTTAAGAACCAAAAATCAGAGTGTCTTTGGTCTACTTAAAATTTAAGTCCATGAGATCCAAACACAGGATCCAAAATTGACATTTTGAACTGTCAATGGTCGCGTTAACCAGATACAAACGTTGGTAAACGGTTTGCGATTGTTCTACTGAACGCTATGTTGAATTTGCGTTGAAACCAAACATGTTTTACAAACGGTCGCCATTTTTGCAAGCATAATTTGAGAGTGTTTATAATTTTCAACACTGAGTTTTGTGTGGTGACCTGTCATTCAGAGGGTGACGTTCTATCATTGAAAAGTTGAATCGTTCAGCAGAACCAAGAGTTTACCCAACATATTCTGTTGGTATTTGTGAACTGTTTACAATCCGTTTTGGTTCTGATGAACGTAGCCATTGTTCCGAAATTGGAGTTTACTATTCTAGGAGAGCCTGGAATAGGATTTTTATTCTTTTCAGTTGAATTTCAGCTCATTCAGGATGCAAACTGTAACTCTATAACGCTCAGAAATCGAAGTTTGATACTTCTTTAGCTCAATTTCAACTTAAGAACCAAAAATCAGACTGTGTTAGTCTACTTGAAATTTAAGTCCATTAGATTCAAACACAGGATCCAAAATTGACATTGTGAATGTCATTGTTCGGAAATTGAAGTTTACTATTTTATACTTTATTTTTTCCCAAGATAGATTTTGACATTGAAAACTTTGAAACATAAACAATAACGCTTGACCCTGGATTGGTCGCAAAATGAGGTATTTCTGCAGGTTGACATCAGTTTTACAATAGCGACCAATGAGCGGCATTAGCGGCATTGTTTATGTTTCAAAGTTGACAATGTCAAAATCTATCTTGGAAAAAAATAAGCCGTAGGTGTTGTGTTCGAGTGGTTAATGAAACACTCCCGCTAATTATAACATTTATTTATACTGTATGAAAGTACTTGGTCAATATAAAATAGTATTTTAGCTTCCGAGTCGTGACGTAACAAGTAAAGGAAACAGAGCGTTGCGGTGGCTAGGGCAATCAGGTACAGACTGACTTGACGTAGGTTTTCCTTCGTGTTCGTCTCCGCTGGGCATCGGTTTCACAAGGTTGCGCTTGCGCTCAGTTCTGACGCTACACTAGGAGAGCCTGGAATAGGATTTTTATTCTTGTCAGTTGAATTTCAGCTCGTTCAGGAGGCAAACTGTAACTCTATAACCCTCAAAAATCGAAGTTTGATACTTTTTTAGCTCAATTTCAACTTAAGAACCAAAAGTCAGATTGTGTGTTGAAATTTAAGTCCATGAGATCCAAACACAGGATCCAAAATTGACATTTTGAACTGTCTTTGTTTATAAATTGGAGTTTACTATTCTAGGAGAGCCTGGAATAGGATTTTTATTTTTTTTAGTTGAATTTCAGCTCATTCAGGATGCAAACTTTAACTCTATAACGGTCAGAAATCGAAGTTTGATACTTTTTTAGCTCAATTTCAACTTAAGAACCAAAAATCAGAGTGTGTTGGTCTACTTGAAATATAAGTCCATGAGATCCAAACACAAGATCCAAAATTGACATTTTGAACTGTCATTCTTCAGAAATTGAAGTTTACTATTCTAGGAGAGCCTGGAATTCGCGAAATGTCCCGAAGTAGGCGACATCTACGATCAACTTTGGTACTAAAAACTCAGTGAACAACAAAGCAAGTTTGCATTTGGCCCCCGGCATTGTTTCTGGAAGTTTTCAATTTTCTACAGAATATTATTATTTTTATGTACCTATTGTTTCTGTTATATAAATCACAAAAACGCCATAAAACACAATTAGGCATTCCAGGTTGACGTCATAACCGATCCGCCATTTTAGCTGTGGGGCAAACAAAAGCCAAACATAACCTGATTTTATGCCCGATTGCACCGTTTCTCTTAACCGAGGCTTAGAGATAACTATTCCTTAAAATGACATTTTCCCATGCAAAACTGTCAATTTAAGGGATAGTTATTGTTAAGCCTCAGTTAAGAGAGATGGTGCAATCGGGCATAAATGTTATTTTCAATGCGAACCGAGAATTAGGGAATCCAAACCACGTGACTTTTGCCAACCAGCCGGCATTTTGAAATTTATGTGAGGTTAGAATACGGGTTGTTACACATTTGTTACATGTCATCGATGTCAGAAAAGTGTCCGATTTGAGTACTCGCCCCGTGTATTGATAAAGCCTAGTACTCATAACCGCGAAATTCGCTCTTTTTTGACATTGCTTCGACAAGTTGACATTTGATTCACGCATAAAATGTCAAATTCTCGAAGCAATGTCAAAGAAGAGCAAATTTCGCTGTTATGAGAACTAGGCTTAATCCTGTCAAAAAAAAAACATATGTTTTTTGTTTATTGTTTGCCAACCAGACACCATTTGGACAGGTCGGTCGTTGGATTGCCTAATTTTTGAAGTATTATTTTGTGAAGCCTTCGTTTTGTGGCGTTTTTGGGTGCTCCAATAGAGCTGAAAGGGATAAAGTGAGTTTTTTTAGGATTCAGCAGCATTTAAAGATCGAGGGGATCGCAT